CTTCCTTGCGTACAAAAATCCATATTATCTAGGTGAAGTCATTGTGCACTGGTCGTCTTGGAGAAGACGAAAGGGATATTCTTTTGGTCGGTACTATTTCTCACGTGCTTGCTTATCATGTCGAAGACAATGCTGATGTTTTCTATAAGGAGGTATTGAGTATAATTTCGAGTTAAGTAAACAGGATCTAGCTTGCGACTACTATATGAATTACTTCAGATGTCGGATGGTGCAAATTGTATGCTTGTCGCAAAAGTTGGGTGGTTGCCGAACCATGTTGTAGTAATAGGTGGCAATTGTTCAGTGACCATCTTAGATGCACATGGAACGGAAATATTTTGGACTGTAATGGGAGGTATTGTTACTTCACTAGCAGCGTTTGATTTTGATGGAGATGGAGAAAATGAAGTAAGTATGGAGCGATTCTTAATAATTTAACGTCAATTTTTCACGTTTTTTTTTTCTTATTTTAAAATCTGAATTCCTCCTGAATTTGAAATCTTGAAGTAACTAAACCAATGTAGAGTAATTCACTTTTTATCTTTTTTTAGTTCTAAAAATTAGAAAAAGATAAATTAAATCGAGATTAAAATTAATCTATATTGATAGAAGTAGACATAAAATTTATTTTTTTCCAAATTATCTTATTTTTTTTTTTAGTTACTGACAGGTACAACAGATTTTGAAATTAGAGTGCAGAAGAAAGACACTATACTTTGGGAAACTAAGGAAACAGCAGCGATTGTTGTTTTCACTGATCTTCCAAACAGGCAGTTTGCTTATGCTCTGGAAAACGGAACAATTGGTGTCTATGAAGCAGGGCAAAGACTGTGGCGAGTTAAAGTAAAATGCTTAAATGCAGGAGAAATTTTAACAATGGCTACGTTCAGCAGAGAAAGCAGTTTTGCAACTGTTATAAAATTTTTCAATATGATTGGTTTATGCATTTTCCATAAGGAATCTAAAGCAAGAATCAATTGTATTGAAGAATTTTACAACAGTTGCAAAACTGTTTTCTCTATTGAACGCAGCCGTTGCCTGCATTAAACAATCTGATTGAATAATATATTAACCACTATAAAAAATTAAATAAATAAAGGAAGGCCTACAAATATGGCTAAAACTAGATCTTATACAATTAAGGCTTAATAATATTTTATATATAAATTTTAGAAACATTTTTTTGAACTATCGGTCTATTATTGTCGGACTTGAAATCATGAATTTAAAGAGAAGTTGAAATAATAATATATATAGATGTTACAAATTAAATTGATCGTTAATTTAATAATAATGTTAATTTGCAAAGAACTTATTGAAAAAATATTATTCCAACCAACATTTCAACTTGAAAATTATATATATATATATTATTACTTCAGTTTCAGTTTGTAATTGCATTTCAAATTATCCACAGTGATTGGCATACATAGCAATATTTATATAACTGAAAGATGCATTTAAAAAATTTACATATTTACATAAAATAATTATATTTGCATATAATAATATTTACATAAAATATTAGACACTAAGATCTAGCTTCGACCGTATTTGGCCCTTCTTTATTTATTTAATCTGATTGAATTTATTTCAGTCAAAGCACAAAGTGATATCTGTAAACACTTTCGATATAAATGGAGATAGTGTATTGGAGCTGATCACTGGTTGGAGTAGTGGAAAAGTAGATGCGAGGACATATAATACTGGTGAGGTCATATTCAAGATTCAGCTATCATCCGGCGTGGCAGGCATAGTAGAAGCTGATTATCGAAGAACGGGTAAACCCGATCTAGTGGTGGTTTCTACCAATGGCGAAGGTATAAACTTGGAACTCGTTTTCTCTACTAAATAGCTATGATTCTTGCAATATTTTTATTTGGCTCTCACGTTTTTTGTAGTACGCGGATACAGTGCTGGCTCTGTCATGCAAGCTCCGGAACCCGGCGAGATAATTCGTGAATTATTAGCCAAGAAGCAGGCACTTCAGATGGAATTGCGACAGAGGGCTGCAACGGGTTCTAGTATGTATTATGGATCGAGATTAGCCATTAGCCTGTTAACAAAAAGGGGCGCAGCTCGCGTCGCGCTTGCAGCTGGACCTGGGCTTCTGGTAATACTACATATGTACAGGACACATCTCTGAACTCTAACTAATATAACATCAATGGTATGATTGTACACTCAACAATGTAAATATAATATAACACATATTGTAATAGTTACATTATAAATATAATATAATACATATTGTAATAGTTACATTGTTGAATGTGAAATTATAATATTGATGTTAGATTACTGTTAATTGATTGATATTTACTGGAAACTCAAGTTCCTTTGTATCACAGATTCTTTGATTTCTTCAGTTTTGAAATAAATTTTCCTTAAAAATGAGATATTGTAAATATAAAATAATATTTAGGTATATTGCGCCATAGTCTTTGCCGAAGGTGTTTTTGAGGGCGAAACACTGGTTACGCATCCCAATCGGCCGCAAGGGGAGTTAGAGATCGCGCTTTATCCTGTCAAGAATGATCCCGTAGATATTCACGTCAAGGTTTACGTTGGACCTGCCGGTTCCGATCTATTACAGGTCTTCGATAATTGTTGTAATTATGCAATATAATTCTAGTGAAAATATTTCTCATATTATCTCGTAATATTTTTAAGAATTCGTTATATATTTTAAATTTTTGTTTCTGAAGATTTCTGAAAAAATATGTATCTGATACTTTTTTTAGATTTTATAAATTATCTTTAGAAATTATAGAAATTATATATAGAATGAGAAATTTTATAAGAAACTTTGAATATATTTCAAAATTCACATGTATAAAAAATTCTAGAAAAGATATAGATCTTTTTAGCACTTCTGACATTTTTTAAAAAGTTATAAAATTATACAGAAATTCTGAAAAATACTGAAAACTTGTATAATAAAATCTAAAAAAAATTTCATCAGGAGAAGTCATGTAAATTTCAGACTGTAACAATTCTAAGTTTGATAGGTCTTTGAAATAACACGACAGTTGCCAAGATTTTGTATGTATGAGCGTATCCCGAAACCGCAACTTGTTCCGGAAGAATTGTCGAATAATGGCGTTGAGATGGATGTAAGTGAACATTTAAACATTGTTGAGTTTTGATTTTAATTTCTAAAAGCTAACGTTAAAGATGAAACGAATGCGTAATCCAATTTTTTTTTTGTAGATCGCGGAAAGACCGCAGCGAATCGCTATCTGGCTGAATCAGAGTATCATCATGGGAGAAGAACTAGAAGTTGCAGAAAGTGGCCCGAATGCCGGATGCATCGAAGTGTGGCTTCGTGGGATGCGGGACAACAAAATGCATTGTTTTAAATCGAACGCCAGTGGAAAAGTGATAATTCAGACAGACGATGCAACATTAGCTGGTGACATTATTCAATCTTTGACTATGTATTTAGGCGTCAGAGAACTAACTTCAGAAGCCACGTTTCCTGCGGAAGAGAAGAGCATATTGGACGCGTTGGAGCGTGTCAAGGGTACGTTATTAAGAAAGAAGTGATAGAAATGCGATCTGCCCTGGTGAAAATATTTCTTAGAATTCTTCATATAATTTTTATTATGTAAATTTAAAAATTTTTTTTATATAATTTTATAACTTTTTAGAAAATGTCTCATTTTTTTATACGAATTAAAACACTTTCAAAAAGTACTGAGAAAATTTATGTGTGTGTGTGTGTACATATATATATATCAATTCTGAAATATTCGAAGATTTTTTATTCTATTATATAATTTCTGAAAAAAATTTATAAACTGTGAAAAAGTTTAAGGTACTTTTTTTAGAAATTTTCTAAATTTAAAATATGACAAATTCTTAGAAATATTATATTATAAAAAATTTTTTTCATCAGGGTGGTCTCTCCACCGCCAATCAGTTCTTTTTTAAGTGAAGAACGATCGTTTTTTTAATCTTTCGAGCTTTTGTTATTGTAAAAACCGTTTTGATACATATACGTCGAAATATTTTTCAGGCTTGAAGGAGGTTGACGCGCGGCTCCAAGCGGAAGCTGCGGGTGGTACCACTCTTTTGAAGAGTATTGTAATTCGTTTAGAAGATGCTAGAATTCTCGAGAACATTAACGATATGCGAAAGAGACTGATGCAATTAAAAAACATCAATGGCGATTTAATCCGAGAGCATGAGATTCGGCTGAATAGTCATCGAGAACTCGCGGCTAGTTTAAAAGAATTGAACATTGGAGTGCAGCGTGCAGCGAGACTCAGAGGTAATGTCTTTATCGCTATGATCATTGCTCTTTCTATTTCTTAGCAATTATATTTATTCTTGCAGTTGGAAAAGCTGCTTCCAATGCAATAGCTCGTTGTAGAACGGCTATACAGGATGAAAATCCGAAAGCCCTTGCACTTGCGATAAGACATGGTTAGAGAGATCCTTGAAGAAGTTCAATTTATTGTTGGCCAATTTAATAGTGAAAAATAGTGCTAATTATTTATTTTGAATATTAAAAGCACTGAATACTAGTAATCAATCACTATCTTCAAGTATTAAATTTTTATTAAATTAAATAAAATACAGAACTTTCGTTATTAAATAGAGTTGCTAGATTAACAGGGAAATAAGAATCGAATAAAGATATAAAATTTAGAATAAATAATTAGAGAGTTACATGTATTAAGAAAAATTACAAGTTTCATATAGACTACGAAATTGAGCTACGATATTAAATTTTTATAAAGGAAATATATCTTCAGGCTAGTTCTTATACTTAATACAATTACCGATTTCTCAATTACATTACGATTTTTTTAAAACAAATATTTTAGGACTGCTGGCATTGTCTGTATTATTGATAAAGATGAAAGTACGAAACATTGCTGTGAATTCGTGCACACAAGTAACTTTTTTTACAAATATTGGTTTATTAAACAGTTAAAATATAATCTTTTTGTACAGTATTCTCTCTCGATGTTTAGTAGAATAAAATTATTATTTAGTCTTAGATCTAACAATTACAATAAATTTCCGCGAGCAGAGATGCTAAATCTTCTTCTCAATGGAGGAGGTGACGGTCGACGAAGAGTATCTATGGTTCCGTCTGTGGAGGCTCTCAGTCTAAAAGATGTTTGATGACTGCTGTGTAATTCGGTCAGCAATCTTAATATATTCATGAATACGGCCGTGACCTGTCAAATGAAAAATAATCATGAATTGTCATGGCCACCGTTACATAAAGATTCGATATTATCATTTAAAAGAGGAATATCTTTTAATAACATGAACGTTATCACTCCCACGTCTCTATTTCTTTTTGTTTTGTGTATGTTGCGTGATTGTGATACAAAATCAATTACTGTATATTTCTCATCTCCTCGCTATTTTTTAAGCATTTTTTTCATCCACAAGCAAGATTATAAAATACTTCGATGTGAATCTTATTTCTTTGCAAACTTGCAACGTAATTTTTATATATTAAACAAGCGTGATTACATTAACGAAATTATTATTAAACCTATTAATAGAAAATCAATATTAATATTTTATTAAAATTACAAAAGAATTATATTTTAGAATTATACAAAACGCGGTTTTGTTTTTAATCTTATTATATTTTAGATACTTCATTTCATATTCGTATTAAAAAATCAGAGAGAACCCATTAGCTTCCTGATATTTCATAATTTATACTTAATAATTTTTATTATTAAATTTCAAATAAAATTTCATGAGAATCTGTATAAACAACAAAAAACAATATTTTATTTTTAATTGTTCCCAAAAACTTTGTATAAATACAATAATTTTTATCGCTCCAATACTCGTTATCATGAAGTACTGAAATGCGTCGATCTCCTACTATGATCATCATTACAATGCGTAGATAAAAACACTGTTGTTCATATCGTGTGCCTTGAGACCGAGCGATATAGATTTGTTTATGGTCCCGCGATCACGCGCAAATGCCATGACACACAGAGTAAACAATCGTTTAGAATAATACTCTTCGTTACGATTAATTCGTATGTTAACTGCATCAGATATTTTCTGTGTTCATTTATAGCCTATTGATTTTTTTCGGGGCAAGAATTTAAGCTAAATCGTTCTTTTCAGATTTAATAAAAAATTAATTAATTTTTATCTTTTTAATGCTTTCTTTTGTGAAAAAAAAAATTTGTAGAATTAGTGACTGAATTTTTAGAATGAGTAATGTACAATATTTGTGAATCCCTTAAATTAAATAATATTTTGTTATTTTTAACTTTTAACTTTTAACTTTTAACTATTATATTCTTTATATTCTTCGTACTACCGTTTACTTTATTGTTTTTCTCATGTATTTTTTATAATATCATTTTTATTTATTTCTTGTCATTATTCTTAATTTTATACGTATGTTCTTAGAGGGTTCAATCTAAAATGTTAATAAAGATTCTGTTTCTTCTATTTTACGTTTTATATATAATATGTCGAATCAATCGAATGTGTATATACGCAGGTCATTACCTGATCAACCGATTCCCTTACAGAAATCTCGTGGAAAGCGTGAGCCTCGATTTCTTTTGCCCTTTTCTGGCCTTCTAGAGCAGATACCATGCGTTCACCCGGAGAGCAGGAGAGATCGGCCTTGTTTCCCACAAGCAGCACGACCGGTGGCACCTTTCTGCCTCTTCTCGCGTGTGATACCAAAAACCTGAAAGTACATATGACGTGTATATAATTGCATTTTATTTTTTCTTAATAAAATATGCTGACCCGATCCGTTACCGAATAAACGATAACTATCACGTCGGCCCATCGTAATTTCGGGTCGACGGAGGCGGGTGGATTTCCGGGAGGATCCGCTATTTCCCACGAAGATCCCAGATGATTGTCGACTCGATAGATTCTGTCCGTAGTGCAATCGTATTCGCCTATGAAGCGTTTTGTGGCGAATCGCACGGCTAAAGCTGATACCAGAATCAAAGTAAAAATAAGATATATTAGTAAATAATTAGTAAATAATATACTATGCCAAATTTAATACATTGTTTTAGTTAAATTAACTTGTTGATATAGGAGCAGTAGCGATCTATAGAAATTATGTTGCATAAATACTCAAAGATGCGTCTTCATATGACATGAATGTTTCTAGCATAACAGAGCAGGAAGAGTTCTATTTCGTTATTTTTATAATAACAATTTAATAATTGTATATATTATAATAATGCCAATTTGATGTTGTAATTTTTTATGAATATAATGATAAGTAACTAAACACTGAGATTGAGCTAAGGTTGGGAAAGTCATTTAAAAAAATTTTTTTTTAATTTTGCAAATGAGTGAGGATGGGGAAAAGTTAAAAAAATTTGATATTAAAAAAATGAATACATCATTATATAAAGCATAAAATATCATAAAAGTTTTGTATAGTTTTGAAAATATTTGCTTGGAAATGATAAAATTCTTTTTTTTTCGAGAGAATGTTTCAACCCCTCAATTTTGAGACACGCTGATAAAAAAATATAGGTTTAATATCATCTGATGCTCTACAACATATCCAAAACCCATCAAAATCAGTATAAAACAGCTCCGATGAGCTCTTTGTTAGATAAATTAATGGCATTAAATTGAGTAGGAGCAATGGCAATTTATCACGATTAAAAATAACTCCATGTGGGAGTTATAATTTCATATGATGAATTTAACAGTGTAGGAAATAAAATATATGTAATAATAAAAATTCAAATTGCACACATTTTGGTTGTTACATATCTTCTTGGCTTCAGGAAGCTATGTACGTTATCTTCTTCGCGATGTTTAATAAAACAATTTATGTTTATTTATTAATTATGTAAACTTTCATTGATTAAAAGAATGAATCATTAATAATTTCAGTTAATATACGTATGTGTATGTATATATATATAAAGGGTGTTTTTTTAAGCCCGATAGAACTTGAAATTGTAAAAAATAAAACAAAAAATTAAATTAAACAGCCGCGGTGGCCATATGCCCGAAATCATTTTCAAATGTTAATGCCATGCATTGATCTTTCGACTAAAAAAAATTTTTTGATTATAATTTAATTTTTGTGTTAGTTTTAAGTTCTATCGGGCTTAAAAAAACACCCTTTATATATATATTTTACGTTATCCATTGAAGAAACTGTTATCGATTACTCAGTTACTCACCTGACTTGCCGACGCCTGGTTGGCCCAGTAAGATCACTTTGACAGTCTTGAAAGTGTCCTTGTTAAGGCCGAGGCCCCAGCAGAATGGAGGACTATTTCTCTTCTTGAGAGCGGAAACTAACGGCGGACTATCACTATCCATGTCTTTATCGCCACTGATCCCTCCGTAGGGTGTCCCATCGATTATGAACCCCTTCGTATGATGATATTTAATGGATGCATTATTCATAGCAATTTGTCGTACGCTTCTTGAAGGGTAGGGGCATAATAAACAATACATGGACAACACGTCATTGTAACTGCGTCATTAACTATTATTAGTATAATGTTATATGTATAACGTGTATTACGTTATAGAATCTATACGTGTACATAAATTGTAAAAAAAAAACGCATGATACAATGATAAACGTCATAAAATTCTATTCTCAGGCTTTTCTGATTTCAAGAATATCCGGATCGCGTAGTCTCAGCTGATTGTGAGGAAATTGTTGACCCATCGTATTTGGCACGCACGTGCCGTCGCATTACGTCGCGACGATTGTTGTTGTTATTTTACGTAAGACCTTAATGGATAGGGACTTTCCTCAGTGACTTTTATCACTTCATATTATACGTCTTGGCTTTCTTCCGCAAACACGACGCCGCCCGCGAGACGCTCGGCTGATCGTCATCGGTTCGTCGCCTTGTTGCATTACTTACATCGTGTCGAGTCGCATCGCAGTTCGATGCACTTGCTCGTACACTTGTCTCGTCCGTGAATGTATATTGCGACTAATTGTTTACTACTATGTTCAGTATTGCACTAAATACAATTCTTCTTGTCTCTCTTCATCTTCCTTCGCATCTTGTTTTCTCGTGAAACATTTTTAAATTCATAATAATACGAAATTGTATATCTAATTTAAATTATTATTATTTTTAATCATTTCTATAAGTCGCCGCTGCTTAATATATTGAAAATTTAACTAAAACATTAAAGTCAGACAATTTAAAAAATGTGTTAAATTTATCTCAAATTTAGTTAATTATTTACTAAGTTTACTAAGTGCATTTACGCAGCGTTAATTCCCATACTAATGCGATGAATATATATAGTAATAAATATATTTCGAATAAATAAATGAATAATATATATGAATACAAGATGCATACAATTTTTTTTATTTATAGGAATAAATAAATAACTACTTTTTATTCATGTGTTTGAATGAACACATTTGTGAATACGATTATAAATATTTTTTTATTTCGCATTTACTCTCACCTTGTGACTATAACTATATTATTTAACACTCTCCTTATAGTAAAAGTATCGACGTAATAGTTTTTTAATTTTCTCCTCGATATAATCATAATTAGTGTATATATAGCTTTCATATTTCTCTTCGGTATAATCGTAATTTTTGACAACCAATTAGTTAGGAGCAAGTATAATTGCTTAACTGCTGATATAATTCGTATAATATTTTGCCTTCTAGCTTGATCAAAACATAGACATGTTTTTATACTTTAATCAAGCTCGAAGGCAAAGTATTTTAACATGAATATAAATATAGACATAATTTAAATAGACATTTAATATAGATATAAATATTTTAACATGGATGTTTTTTAAATTTTAATCAAGCTCGAAGCTGCAAAATATTTTACAAATTATGTCACTATATCAGCAGTTAAGCAATTAGACTTGCTTAAAAATAATTATAGTTAAGTCCTCTACAGAAAAATATTATAGATTCTTGTACACGTGTACCAAGCTGACAGATAAGTCTCTGACGATTTTGTTAAGAGTAGGAGAAGCATCTATCCTATACCTAAATTTAAATTTTACATAGAAAAGTAAAACTAGTACAACAAAATTTAGCATGAAAACAGTAAAATAAATGATCCTTCATTACAAAAGTTGATCCGAATATTTATTACAAATCACTAATTACGGTTAAAGAGAAAAGATTGTTTAGTTTACATTTTGTTTAAATGAATAAGAATCATAAAATATATATTCATGAATATATATTCATGAAAATATTTTTAAAAATCTATAATTTCGAATAAATATATGAATAAATATTTTTTAATATAAAAATTTTGAATAAATAAAATTTGTAGCCCAATTATACAAGTTTTTTGTATTTATCAAACATATCAATTCGTACAGCATAGATCTCCAAGTAACAATGTAGTCAAAAGAAGGACAAAGAGTCAGTAATGTAGCAAAGAACTTTAATGGAAATACGTAATTCTTAATGGCATAAAAAAAATATCTCATCCAGGTATCGCTGACGATGTTGCATGCACATCTCGCCCACGGCTGTCGCAAAATATATGCACCGTTTTTTCAATCTTAATCAAATGTATCAAGAGAATTATATTTAGTTTCTGCATCGGTGCTCCTGTTAAAGAAACAAAAACTACGCAGAGAATTACACGTAAGAATTAATGAATCGCTGAATTAATGAATCATTTAAATTATTGCCGACGTGACGAGGTTTGTAGGATATTTATATTTTTGACGTGTATTTTTATCGAATTGCAGTATATAACTGGTATAATTCTTATAATTATAAATTTTTATATCCATATTTCTGGCTATTTTTTTTAACGTAATTTGTGATATACAATGTATTTTTCTATAAGTCACTTCAATGAACTATAGCGTACTATAGGTGCATTCCGTTTCACGCATGATGTATATAATGTATATAATGTATCAGTTATCCTTGTTTAACATTCGGTGAACAAGGATAAATGATGTATCATGCGCATCATGCATGAAATGGATTGCACCCTATAATTAATGGAATATACGCGTTATTCCTTTTTAAGGCTGCTTAACCCTTGCAATTTCAAGCCACGTTAAGTTTCATCGATTATTATCACATAGGTGAGAATAAGGTCAGGATTTCTAAAAACGCCATATAAAAGTCAATTTCTCACATCAAAATACATAATCTATTAACGTTCACATGGAGTGTATGCACGCACGCGCATGATCTTCTCTCTCCCATTTATTCTGCATCAATGTAAGGACAATATTTTATTTGCATAGATATATTTGCGTAGGTATACTTTGAGAGACCGCTACGAACAGCGTCAACGAACTTAAAATGGGATAATTCAATATTTAATCAGGAAATTATATTTTGTGCTCAGAAATAGAAATAGAAATCTCACTATGATAAATGCATGTCCCCTGTTATCGCCAACAGTACAAAAATAGAATATATTTCTCTTAGCTGATAAATCAAGTAGGTAAAAACTATTTAAAGAATTATGATAAAACGGATCGATTACATGATATGTCAAGTTTGGAAAACAAAATTATTTTGTTGGCTAAAATTTTTTAAACTATATCATGTGTAATGTGTTCTTTTTTAGATACAATTACTTTTTATTATTCATTATTCATGGAAAGAAGAAGATAATTCTAAGAATTATTCATGTGAAATATATGAAAAAAATTCTGTAGAGAATTTGCGTAGTTGAAATAATATCTTAAAATAACCCTGAAAAAGCGTTTATAGTTTAACATGTTTATTTAAAGACTTTTCGCGATAAGCTTATTTTTCACTTTATTAACTTGTAGGCGGATATTGTTGGATCATCAGATTGTTATTTAATTTTTCTGACATATAGATTTTTATTTTTATTTTCATTTTTATTTAGATTGCCATTCACCTGTAAGATTAAAAACATTTCGCCGATCGTTTTGTGTTAAACACTGATTTTATCATCAGAAACTCAATTTAATATTAACCAATTTAATACTAGAAATTATTTATTTTGAGTATTAAAAACGTTGTTGTTTAGTGTATTTTTAATACTTAAAATAATTTATAATCATTTTTGGACTAACCATATTTTATATGATTATCACCAAAATGACTATAAATTACAATAAGTTAAATTAATAATTGCAATTATTTTTATGACAATAATAATTATAATTTAGTCATTTTTGCCATCAACTATATATATTTATGTTGACAGAATTACCATACATATATTATTATTATTACTAACATTACAGCAGTAATAGCAATAATTATCATAACATAATTATAGTCATAAATATGAAAAATTTTTCTCTCAACATCTTTAACTTTTCTTTTGACACTTTCACTCTCTCAAAATTACTTCGATAATTGTGAGTAGTAAAAACAATCGGTTTCCTGATAATTCAATAATTTGTTAATCTAAAAATAGAACTGTTCGATTGGCTCGGTCAATGTGGATAGGACAAAAAGGGTGCCGCCACTCGTTGATCTGTAAATTTTTTGGGGTTATCGATTGGGTGAGTTCGTATCATGCTTATCTATAAAAATTATTTCAAATCCATTTATTTCAAAAAGCTTAATAAGTTAAATCGCCATCATTTTAAAGATAGGAGGAACAAAGATAGGAGATGTCTCAAAGAAATCGTAACGTGTTACATAAGGATAAGATAATGGATGCTTTTCATTTGACACAAGTCGACACAAGCATCATTCTATCCTTCTTGATATTTAAAGAGTGATAAAGATTGACTTGTGTCACTTGTGTCATCAAATCCATTGTCGAATTCTCAGCGTAAGAGAAAGAGCTCTAAGGATAGAAAGATCGTTAATTTTCATCTTTCTTTTTCTTCCACATTGCAACGGAAATTATCTGGCCGCGGTATAGCCAGTGCATAAGATTGACGAATGGATACCAGCTTCCGATGCGTGAAATTCGCGTGAAGCACGCAAAGATGTTCCGCAACAAGGAAATGCATCAACGAAGTTGGTGAAAGATCTGATCGTATCACGTTTGTGGTGACAAAAAAGTCGCAACTGTCAAAAATTGCTTTTTGCAGTAGGCAGAAAATACATTGAGAAAACTGTGTTTGGTATTTGTGACTATAATAATTGCATAGTAAAAGAATTATAATTAGAAATTTCATTTTTATAATTATTATACCTATATGTTGGTAATAATTATACTTTATAACAAAAAAGATGTAGGTAATAATTATACTTTATAACAAAAAATATGTAAGTCGCTTATGACTATATAACATTGTTAAATTTATAGTATTAAATTATATGAGTTATTTTAAATCATTTCTATAGGTCGTCACTGCTCCTATTCAATTTGTATTGTTAATTTAACTAAAACACTGAAACTAAACAATTTTATCATAGAAATAGATTGA